AGTGTTCCCAGAATTCCAAGAATTCTTTCCAGGGAAAAAAGAATCCCTGATGTTCATTCAGCCCTCCAAATGTAAGAGCACTTTCACCCAAATCCTTACTTTCCTGCTGCATATACTTCGGCGGTGTCAAACAGGTTTATACCATGCTCATAGGCTACTGTCAGCACATCCTCTGCTGTCTAGGGAGGTGAGAGAAAAAGTTGAACATCAACCACTGCCCCTCTTGTTACCCCCCTTGCTGCACTCTAACCTATGGCACCTCAGCCCTGATTTCCATATTCTTTCCCTTTCCCCCATCTTCCAGCTTCAGCTCTTTCATTCCCCATGCTTGCTGTCCAAACCCCTTTCCAGGGCCAATTTTCATTTTTCTGATTCCCTCCCCACCCGTGCCCCCACCCTGCTTCTAGAACCCATCACTTATACCTCATCTGAGATCTGAGAACCAAATGTGACCCAGGTACCTGTAGAAGAAGAGCCAGGTACATAAGAACTGTGGGAGCCATACTATGAAAGAATCCCCCCTTCCTTTAATTCCTAATCTGACTCACCTAGGCCAAGACAGGACACCCGAAGACCGGACTTTCCCAGGTTCCTGTAGGATACAGAAGCAGTGGAAAAGGTTGGAGCCTCCATTGGGGATGTAGGGTATTGACCCCCCACTTCCTTCCAGACTGCGAAGCTCCCAGGATGTCTCAGACCAAAGAAACTAGAACTAGGGTTTCTACAGGATTTGGTGGTACTATCCCTGTAGCAGAGGTCCGAGAAATAGTGCTGAAAGACCAAGGGAACAGATAAGTGATTGTTCCTGTGAAGCCTCTGTCCACTGCCTCTTCTCCTATGACACTGAAGATGTGCAGTCTGGTTTGTCTTTCTTCTGACTGAGATCTTGTGTGTGCTTCAGTTATCTCTGGGGTATGTAAAGTAGGGAGCTTTGAGAAGTGTGGCTGGTGTGATAAGTTTGTAAGAATAGACGCTCAATCAGAGAATGCCACACTAAACAGTGAAACCAGAGTGGAAAGTAAACCAAGTTGAGGCACTCAAGGTAGGCAAGGGCTGCTGGCTAGATGAGTGTCCAGCAAAGAAGAGCTGGAGGGAAGTGTGACAGGAAGGACTTGCCCTCTCCTCTCCGTCCTGTTGGCTTGTGAAGACTGTCTCTGAAGGACAGTCCCCTTCTCCTCCCAAAGTCCACCACCCAAGTAGTCAGCTCAATTTCCTAATCAGGGTTGCCACATGGAGGGAATCAGATTCTTCAAGTGACAAAGCCAGGTCAGAACAGCAACTTGGCTTATGTCCAAGCTGGAGCTCCTCCTCTTCCCTTGTCTGAGAGTTGAGAGCCCCTAGCTCATAGTTCTCTGAGATAAAGACAAATTTCCACCCACCCGCCCCACCCCTCTGTCCCTCTACATGGGGATGAAAGATGTGGCCCATCCTTCCCACGGGCCCCTTGCCCCTCCTCTCCCTGCTCCCACCCAGGAGACCAGGAGCTCAGGTCAGGTAGGGGCAGTATCTGGGTCAGGTGCCCTAGCAGGCCAGAGAAAGAAGCCGGTTGCCTTCTCAGCCCAAGACGCCGACCCAAGGACATTCCACTGGGGCGCAGACTGGAATTTCTGTGGGTCCCCTGCCTTCCTAGCAATGAGGGGGAAGCTCCAGGGCATCCTCTGGGTCAGACAGGATTCCATCAATGTTGGTAAACTTGATCTCATAGTCAGGGGTATTGACAAGACTGAGGGAGGGACTAAGTTGGGAATGCCGGTGACCCAGGAGCTGGAATGAAGGGGGATCTTTTTAGCGAAGTTTGAAGGGGTCTTGGTGGCTATCCTGAGAAGGTTCAGGGGTCCCAAAAGAGGAACAGATTGGAGGGCTGCCCGGCCACCCCATACCTGTATTTCATGCCAGTGCCTCGGCCTGTGCTCTCTCGGAGGGCCCCAGCAGGCGCCGGGGGTCGTGGAACCAGCGCGGCTCGGGCCTTGGGGCCTGACCCACCACCCCCAGGAGGGTTCCCATGCCCCGCGCTGCCGCCCGCTGGCCCGCCATTACCGCCCCCGGGGCCGGGCCGGGGTCCGCATAGACGGTCCTCACTGCTCCGGCTGCGAAGGTTCTGCTCGGTACACGCGATAGACACCTGCATGCCAGCTGGCCAGGGAGGGGGCTCTGAAGGGGCGGGGAAGCCCGAGGGCGGACACCCTGGGTGGTAGTGGGGCGATACCTGGGAAAGCGGGAAGGCTGAGGAGGCTGCGGCGGGAGCCGCCAGACTCGCTTGGGCCCGCGGGGGTGGACTGTGGGAGGTCGCGGGCTTTGCAGCAGAGAGGGAGCAATACTGGGGGCGCCAGGGGCAGATTTTCAGATACCGGGGCACTGGTGCAAAGGACAGGAGAGGGGGATGGATGAGGGTAAAGGTTGAGGGCGGTCGTCAGAGGGTAGGGACCCAGGGAGGAGAGGTTCATGGGAGAGGGGTGCCACTTCAGTCCAAACCGCAGTGGGACCCGCTAGGCTCCCAGCAGCGTCGGCCGCGGGCCCAGCTCATCAACATGCAGGCACCGCCCCTTTATTTACATAGAACAGACCGCCTGCAGCTTATCTGCATAAGCTCCGCCTGCCAAGGCTCCAAAGCTGGAAGAAGCCAGTGAAAGCCGATTCCCCCCCACCGTGTTTCTTACACTCCGTGTGTCCGAGGCCTGTCAGCCTCACCCCTGCCCAGGGGCTCTCAGTCAACAGAGATTTTATCTCCCAGGAAAAGTGACAAAAATTGGAAACATTTTGATTGTCACAACACCTGGGGGGTTAGTCCAGGCATAAGGAGGAATGTAATATACTTACCAAGCTACAGCAAAAATTGCTACTAAAATTCTACGAAACAGTAATTACCCAGCTCAAAATGTCAACAATACAGCTTTTGCAAAATCCATTGGCAAAACCCCTTTTTTACACTTTGGAGGAGTATGGCCAGCTTTATTGTGGGGCAGAACCCAAAGGACCCACTCAAACTGACACAGGTTTCAGAGGATGACAAAACGTTTATTCTGTATTCTGTGCTTCTTATCGACTAGGGGATAAAACCAGAGAGCAGGTCTGGTTTGGGAACGCAGGGACTCCTGGGAATAGGGTAGAGGAGAAAGCTTTAGGCTGTTGTTCTGGGAGAGGGTTTGGTAGAGGGGCTTATAGTATCTTCAGAGGCAAGTTAAGGAGGGCCCAGGTAGTCACAAATTTTTCTGACAGTTGAGGTAGTATACTTCAGCCAGCTCGAGCAGAGAAGAAAGACAGCGAGCGGACATAGGAGTCTAGCCTGGAGCGGAACAGCTCACTTTGCACAGTTTGGCCCAGAGGACACAGGGGATTCTTCACCACCAGTTCCACATACAGCTGTGGGAAGGAAGTGTGTAAAAACTGGGATTTGCATCTTTTTCAACTTAGTTTGACCTCAGGATTGTAGTATGACTACGCAAAGAACCAGGGCTGGCAGGCAAGCCTTCTCTTAGGAGAAACTGGTGGTGGGAGTTTTTACGAATTTAAAGACTCCCACCAAAAGTGTGAGTTCAACAGAGATATTACACAGTAGGATTAGGGGAGAAAATCTGAGGGACTCTTTGGGTTCTCAGTGTGGGTAAGATACTGTTATAGAAGCATCCCAGTCTGACACTAACCGCACTGTAGATGTGGTGTAGCACATCTCGGATGGGTCCCACGCCCAAATCAGTATTCATGACAACCTTGATCCCAGTGGGTGTCTCGTAGTAATGGAGTTTGTAACGGCTAGTTTGGAAGGCCAGGAAACCATCCTTCCTGCAGAGATGTTAAAGATGGGTGTTAAAGATAGTGGAATCTCTCCCCCGCCAAAAAAAGGATGAGAGTGGAATCTCTCCCAAAGAAACATTTTTGATCCCTTCAAGGTCAACTTCCCTTTCATTTAAACACATAGACTGTAGGAGCCTGGAGAAGTAAAGATTTCCTCGCCCTTTATATCAGGTTCTTACTATGCAGTCTAGGCTGGCATTGAACTTACTATGTAGCAAGGCTGGTCTGAACTCACAGCAATCCTCCTGCTTCAGTGCTGGGATTAAGGCACGCACCACCATGCCTAGATAAGAAACCTCCCATCTTTAGCCCTCAATTCTGCCCTGGCCCTCAACCTTTTTACTTTCAGGCTTCTATTGGTCCTCCTCACAGCTTTGGTGCTCTCGATCAGACTCGGTTTCTCCCCTCCCTTCTCTGGGGGCCAATGTCCTTCCACTCCAGAAAGGACCCTTCCAATTCCAAAGGCTAGCCCTCCTCTCAGCATCTCCTCGAACATAGCGTACATGTCTAGCGGGGACATCTTGCTGACAAACGAGCGGATAGAGAAGAGCATCCCGTACATCAGCTTGAACTCCTGGAAGGAGAGGGGCAGAATTAGGTTTCAGTTGTTGGGGGAGATAGGGTTGGGAGTAGGGACAAGTCGAGATTTAGAGAACAGGGATGGCTGGAGTACTCGAGAGTATTTTTGGAGATGAGAGGTCACCCGAGTTATTGAGGCCCTTTGTCACCTCCTCCTTGGGGATCCCTGCTTGCTTCTTGCGGTGCCACTCGCTGTAGTGTAGACACACTCCATTCCGGTCAAATAGGTATAGGTTGTGGACAGTCATCTGCAGGACAGGAAATGTGAGCCTCGCTCCAGGACCGCCCCAATTCTGCAGGCTAGGGTTCTTGGCCCCAGATCCCTCTAACCAGGTGGGCACCCCACCCCTGGACTCACCGGAATTATTCCGAGCGCTGGAGATGAGCTACTTCCGGTTTCCGAAGCGTCCCGCCCCTCTGTGTCTTCAAATTGCAACCGCGGGGCAGTAACACCACCCTTGTGTTAGACCCCGCCTCTCTCCCTCAACCAATCTGTGGCTGCTGGGGCTGCGCAAGCGCGCTCAGGCTCCCAGGGCTCCCGAAGCCGAGAGCTGCCGCCAGAGCTCGGTCTCGCGGGCGGGTGACGTCATCCATGCTGGAGGGGCGGGGCGGTGGGCGGGATGCGACCAACGGTTTTCAGAGTGGACTGCTGCCTGCGTAGTAGGGGGTTGGGGGGTGGTTCTTTGTGTTTCCTGCTCAGGGGAGGGGGCAGTCCCCTCTACCTTGGTAAACTCGGGGCCGATCGTGGGTGGTATGGAGAATAGTAGCAACTGGGTGGTCGTGGTAGAGATCTCCGGGTAGGCTAGAGGGCGGCGTACGTCTTAAAGGTGTGATTGAAGGCTCACAAGGTTTTTTCGGAGGTGGTGGGAGTGATTTGGTTTTCGTGTCAGGAGGGTTTGGAGGGAGTATAGGAGGAATTTGAGGAAGCACAGGAGGGTAGGACGAGGCATGGGTTCCTGCCTGTCTTGGCAGTGAAGCCAGCTGAGGGACAGATACTGAGGTCCGTTTTCAATTCGCACTTTCTGCACATGTAAAGAGCTCAGTCGACCAGGGAAAGCCTGTGGCAAAGCTGACCTGCAGCTTCCAGCACTGTAGGTACCTTTAAGAACTGAACTTTATCCCTCTCCCCCAAGTACGTCTTTGGTCGGAGCCCTCTGTATTGCATCCTCTTTTCACTGTTCACGGGAGCTGGAAAAAGGAATGCCTTTGCTCTTTCCAGGCCGTCTGGAACCAGGAGAGAGCTTTCCCTTAACCAGAAAGCCGTGATATCTTTATTCTCCAAGGTTTCACAAAGGATCTTCCCCTGTTCTCCCAAAACTTCTTTCTCTGTGAACTTTACCCCTGGACTCTCCTAAAGCTGAACCAGGAGTTCCCAGCTTTCTGCTCTCTCCAGTTGTCTTCTCCCTGTACTCATGGCCACATCAGCTACCAGCCCCAGTTCACCTCTTCAGGCAGAGGATCTCTTGAGTGAGTCATCAGAACCCCCTGGACTGAACCAAGTGTCGTCTGAGGTGACCTCCCAGCTCTATACTTCTTTGCACCTCAGCCGTCAGGCAGAGGCCACCGCAAGGGCTCAGCTGTATTTAGCCTCTGCCTCCCCGCCTCCACATGAGGCCTTAGATGGCCTGGCCCAAGAGCTGAGTCGCAGCTTGTCAGTCGGATTGGAGAATAACTTGAAGAAAAAGGTGAGGGAGGTGTGTCCTAGGAACCTCGAGGGTACTAAATATATTTGTGAGTCTGGAACTTGCAAGTTATCTGTACTGGGATTTGAATGGTTGCTTGATGAATTTAATTTTTTTTTTTTACTGTAGTAAAATGTATTTCTGGGAACACGATTGTGAGGGAAAGAATGATCTGGAACATGATAATTTGGAGAATTATGAGACTTTTGTTGTTCAGACAACTGTGCTTTAGGATATGTTGGTGTTCTGTGATTGGGATCTGGGCACTGGAAATGGGGATAAGTAGGTTTTTTTTTTTTTTCTGCTGTTCTAGGTAGGAGGGAACAGGAGTCTTAAAGATAACACTAAACTATTCTAAAAATCCTTCCAGTTCAAAATTGTTTTGAGTATATTGTTCAAAATTTGGCATGCAAATCACAACATAGTCTAATCAATTAAACATGTTACAGAAAAAAATACTTGTCTTGGATAGAAAAGATGTCAACATGAATCTGCAGACTAGTTAGGATAGTGATGGTGAACCTTTTAAAGCTTTCAGTGATAAAAATAGCCTGCTGCAGCACTCATACCATAGGATTGTCACCAGTGGATTAGGACTTCTAGAGTTTAAAACATGCTAACCATGGGCTACACAGCATTCCGTCTAGACATTTGCTCTTTAATTGTCAAGAATTCCTATACCCATTTTACTTGTTTATACTTTTCTGGCTTCTATAGACGTTTGGGTTTCTGACTCAAGATTAAGACATTCCTTATTGGATGTGTTTCCCTTTTGTAGTGTTCCCTGGTGAGAGAGTTAAAACTATGCTGGCAGTAGATAAATTGTACAGGTGGCATCTGATTTCCTTGTCTAATACTTTCCCCCTCTCCCAGGATGGTTCTAAACATATCTTTGAGATGGAAAGTGTTCGGGGTCAACTCCAGACCATGCTTCAAACCTCACGTGATGCAGCCTATCGTGAGTAAGCCCATGCCCTAGTGCTCTGAAGAACCTAGATGCAAGGGGTGGAGCACAATGGAGAGAAACCTGGAAGGAAACTAGGTCTCTGAAACGGATTTTAAGAGAAAAGGCATCCATTCTTTGGGAGCCAAGTTGGGGAAGGGAGGAGAAAGGAAGGTAGTCTCCTTTCCTCTCTGTCAAATGATCCTTGTTCCTGTCTTCACCTGACTCTAGCCTTGGGGTCCCTTGGGCTGTCTGTAGGGGACCCCCTCACTGCAGGTGCTGGCTTAGACAAACGGGAAGAGGAATCCTTTGACAGTGACAGCACAGCTACCTTGCTCAAGTAAGTACTCTTTGGATATTTTCTTGGAAATCTGAGTATTCTTGTTTTTAGTTCTCTCTTGTCTACTATGTACCTTTTAGGGAATTAAGTTTGTCATTTAGCTTTTAGTTTTTATCATTTCTTTCCTATCTCCTACCACCTTTATTTCTTCCAGAACCTAAGTGGGCATCATCTGTCTACTACCTGACTTTCTCTCAACCTTGGTCCTTTTTCTCCTGGGATAGTTAACTTGTTTTTACTGAGACTATTACTGCAGGCAGTGTTATATGGAGGAAGGAGCTTTGTAGAATCAATCACAGGCCTATGTGTTATTTATGGTTTTAGTACTATCTAGCTTTATAATTTAGGGCACATCACTCACCCTTTCTGATCTTAGTTTCCTTATTTGTAAAATGTCACAGTGAAAGTAATGATCTCAAAGGCTTTTCTAGCTCTAATGTTCTGTATCTAATTTGCTCAGCACCCGGCTCCTGCAAGACTTATCTCCATCCAGCTCAGCACAAGCTTTGGAGGAGTTGTTTCCCCGATACACCCGCCTTCATCCAGGGCTCCCAATTAATCCCCCAGATTTTCAAGGGCTAAGAGATGCACTGGATTCAGAGCATGCTCGTCGTAAGGTGAGGTAGAAAAGCTTCCTTCTAAAAGCTGCAAAGATGAGGAAAGGGACTTGGGTGCTGAAAAAGGCTAAGAGTTACAAGCCTGAAAGCTGGGACTTTGCTCAAGCGTTTCTTCAAGGAAGCCTTTTTTGATCAGCCTGTGTAAAGTGATGCCCCCTCCCCTCCATATAGTTACTCAGATCACTTTATGATTCTCTTCATACAGCTTCTCACTCTTATATGTATTCTTTGTTTTCCCATTTAAAATATAAATTCTTCAAGGGTCAATAACCTGTCCTGTTCAGTGGATCACTATGGTCCAGAAGAGTGATGGTGAGCCTTTTAGAGTTTTCGGTGATACATACAGCCTGCTGTGGCACCACCACTGGTCTGGAATGTACTCAACACATAGAAATACCTCATATGTATTTATTAAATGGGCATTGACCTTTGCTGGCTTTTGCAAAGATCTGTAGCTACTGGTAGTATAATGAGCCTTATTTCTATGAGCTTCAGCCTTGATATCTGAAGGGAACAGAGGTAGACAAGGACATGGAAAAGTTAGCTAGTTGTCATTTTTTTTTTTTTTTTTAATGTATTTGGTACAAGGCTTTGCTGCCAAGAGTCTTACTACGCTGCTTGGACTCTTGATCCTTCTGTTTTCAGCCTCCCAAGCACTGGGATTACTGGTGTGCATGCACCACTGTGCCTGGACTTGGACCCCCCTTAACCTTCCCAGTGTGCTGGGGGCTCTATACTGGGGGCCCAGCGTGGCATGTGGTACCGTGGTTCAAACCCTGGTCCCTCCGCTTGCCTAAGCAGGTGCTTAATCCATAGAGCTGTCTCACTGGCCCTAGTTGTCATTTTTGGAACTCTCTCTCCCTATGTTTAAAACTACCTGGGCAGGAATGAAGGGCTTTTCTTTTTTATTGCTTTGTTAAATCATTATGTCTGATGAGCTCCTTAATACAAGAGTCACTTCCCACACACTGCAGTGTGAGCAGCTGCACTTCTGCCAAAAGACCTGGGAGATTTTTTTCTCAGGGTTCTAGGAAAAGGAAGAGTCTAGAATATAAAGACCTATTTCCTGAGAAGGTAGAGGAAGGCCTTGGAAATTTTGGGCCTTATATTCCTGTTAAAAAATTCATGGCTCCCTCTCTCAACCTATTCTTTTCTTGGAACCCAGCCCATTTTTCCCTTAGAGAAGCTAGAAAGTTTATTGCTGTGGTGAGATTAAGGATGAGAAAGACCCAAACTCCTTACCCTTCTTCCCAGCATTGCGAGCGTCACATTCAGAGCCTGCAGACCCGTGTGCTAGAGCTCCAGCAACAGTTAGCTGTGGCTGTCGCTGCTGACCGCAAGAAAGATGTCATGATTGAACAACTGGACAAGGTGCCAGGGTAGCATGGGTGGTGAGGCTCTCAAAGAGAGCCTTAAGGAGTAGTAGATAAGGGGGTTAGGGTGTATTTCCCTGTGCGTACAAAGATGTGGGATATGGGGGTCGGGGAGATGGCTCAGGAATAAGCGCTTTCCTGGCAAGTGCAAGGGCATGAGTTCAATCCCCGGTTCCTCAAAAACCCCACAAAGATCTGGGTTATGGTATGGGTTTAGTAACTGTTGGGAGAAAGTTGCTGTTAACTTTGCTCCTTTGGATAGAAAAGGGGCAAAAAGTTATTTTGAAATTCTGCCCAATATATTTTTCTGGAGACCCTGGCCCGAGTGGTGGAGGGCTGGAATCGGCATGAGGCTGAGCGGACAGAAGTGCTTCGGGGACTACAAGAGGAACGCCAGGCGGCAGAACTCACCAGAAGCAAGCAGCAGGAAGTGGGTGACCTGGATCATGTGGCATTAAAACCTAGGTTACAGATTTGTAGAATAGCAGAATAGCTCTTGAATTAGGGTTCCAAACAGACTGATCTCTGTCTTCCAGTAGCTGTCCTGACAACTCTTCTTGTCCCTCTTTCCTTTTCTTTCACTATTTCTGCTCTCAAGTTTAAATTGTGGCTTTCCAGTTTTTTCCACAATATAGTCCAACTCATTTAGTTAACTCTAAAGTTTCAACTTTACGCTGTTAATGATTTTTCAGTAGAGCATAAAGAAATTTTCCTCATTTCCTCTGTTCTATGTTCTTCCTGGAAGACAGTAACTCGTCTAGAACAAAGCCTTTCAGAAGCCATAGAGGCCCTAAATCGGGAGCAAGAAAGTGCCAGACTCCAGCAACAGGAAAGAGAGGCGCTGGTAAGAAGGCTAGGCTGGGACAGTTCTAGTGGAGGCTCTCACTTCTGGAGAATGAAGGGCTCTTGGTGGATTGTGGGAGTGTTATTGGTGTTTGTTACTAAGGCTCTGTTTTTTGTTTTGTTTTGTTTTTTTTGCCAGCTCAGCCCACCATGAGGGCGGGGCTGGCGCATCATGTGGTGCCTAGGATCGAACCTCAGTCCCCTGCACCTGCCTAAGCAGGCGCTTTAGACCGCTGAGCTATCTTGCTGGCTCCAAGGCTGTGTTTCTTAGAGCACTAGTTCTGCTATATATTATAGCAAAAAAGGCTTTGCTGCCAAGCAACTTTGAGAGACTCTGAAAATTATATCCTCAATAAAATATTACTCAGGAGTTAATTTTGTCTTTTGAGACAGGGTTTCACTATATAGTCCAGGCTGACCTTAAACTCATTCTGTGTATAGTGTAGGCTGGTCTCAAACTTGCAGTGATCATTCTGCCTCAGCCTCCAAACTGGAATTGTTTTTTTTTTTTTTTTTTTCCGGAACCGGGGATTGAACTCAGGCCCTTGCACTTGCCAGGGAAGTGCTTATTCCACTGAGCCATCTCCCCAGCCCCTGGAATTGTTTTAAAATGTAGATTTGTGGGACATATCATACAAGGGATGGGGATGGAGGACAGAGTTTAGTTTTTGTTTTGTTTTTTATGCTGGGAATTGAGCCCAGGGTCTTAAACATGCTGAGCAAGCACTCTACCACTGAGACAAACCCCCAGTCCTCCCGGAGGTTTTGATTCAGTAGTATGTGGTGGAGTAGGAGAATTTATATATTTTCAGAAATTTCCTGCATGGTTTTATTTATCCTGGTTTAGAAACTCTGGTCTAGGTTGTAGGAAAAAAAAGGTGTGAGATCCCTTTGGGAAACTGAGACAGGAGGATTGCAAGTTGAAGCCCCAGGCTGGGCAACTTAACAACATAGAACTGTCCCCAAAAGTATAAAGAGGCCTGGAGATGTAGCTCAATTTGAAGGCCTGAGTTTGTTTTCTAGTACCATCCTATAGCACAACAGGTATAGAAAGGTATGGGATAAGACTCATGAAAATTTCTTCTAGCTGAAATGAACAGAGTTGGTACCCAGGTTTTGGACTCGGTGCTTGCATGATAACGTGCTTTCTTCATGCAGACTGATACCTGTGGTTTTCACAGACTGTATCCAACAGCACTAACGGTGGTGTTCCTTGGCTTATTTCTGACTATATTGCAAGCTCAGCTAGTCTTTGTGGAGTTTCTTTTTTTGTTTTCTTTATACAGGGTCTCACTATGAAGTCTAGGCTGACCTTGAACTCACTGTGTATCTGAGGCTGGTCTCAAATTCATTGATTCTCCTGCCTCAGCTTTCCAGGTGCTGGGATTACACACATGCTTTACCATGCCTGGCTGTGGAGTTTCTTTTGATGGTGGTAGTGATAGCTATTGTGTATTGCGTATTTACTATGTGCCAAACATTGTACCAAATGCTTTACATACACAGTTTGCTTCTCACAAGGCAAACCTTGTTATTTTATTTTACAGATAAAGATAAACGCCTAATAAACAATAGCTAGGATAGAGACTAAAATTTAAACCCGACTCTACTTAATTCTAAGATAGGAGTTCTGGTCTATGTTATAGTCCTTTGAGCCTGTCAACTTTTTTTTTTTTTTTGGTATTGAGAATCAAACTCAGGACCTTGTGCTTGCTGGGAAGGTGCTGCTGAGCTATATCCCCAGCCCAACTCTTATATTTTCAATGGGCATAATTCTTAGTAGAGATCTCTGTATGGGGGAGGTTTCTTTGAGAACCGTTGAGGGGCTACTAAAGATCGTGGTTTTTCTGTGGGGATTTAGGAAGAAGAAAGGCAAGCTCTGACCCTGAGCTTAGAGGTTGAACAGCAGCGGAACCATGCCCTTCAGAAAGAGCGGGATGAGGCTCGGGCTGGGCAACTCAGTGAACATCGGAAGCTGGAGACCCTTCAGGTTGCCCTGGAAGAAGAGCGACAGGCCTGGGCACAGCAAGAGCACCAGCTTAAGGAACACTACAAGACAATGCAGGAGGAAGGCCAGGCTCAGCTGGAACGGGAAAAGGTAAAAGCAGGATTTGGGCTGATGAGATGGCTCAGTGGTCTAAAGCACCTACTTAGAACAAGCTAAGTCAAGCAAAGCACAGGGACCTTGGTTCAATCCCCCAGTACCACATGCCAGCCAGTCCCGCCCCCTGGTGGGCTGAGCTGGCCACACACACACAAAATAAATAAATAAATAAAATTAAAAAAAAAAAGCAAGCAGGATTTGGAAGATTTGGGGAATGGGAAAAGATGAAAGGCAAAGTTACCAAAAGGGATGGGATGGCAGAATGTGGGGTATAAATAGGGGACAGGGATGGAGAGTGGAGAGCTCTATGTGAGAAGCAAGGTTGAGCATGTAGGGCAAGCAGGAAGGAGAGGGGAATTAAACACATGGTAGGCCAAAGAGTGACATTAAACAGGGATGAGGAAATGGTACACATGGGAGCAGGAGGGGAACTTGGGTTTTAGTTCGGGCATGGGGAGATGGGAATAGAGGTAGCTAGAGACAGGAGATGAGGCATGGCTCACTTTTGCTTTTCCTTTTTAAGGGGAACAGCCAGAGGGAGACCCAGGCAGCCCGGGAAGCCCAGCAGCAGTTGGCATTGGTGCACTCTGAGGTGCGACGGCTGGAAGGGGAGCTGGACACGGCTCGGAGAGAGAGAGATGCCCTGCAGCTGGAGATGAGCTTGGTGCAGGTCAGCAGGCACAGGGTGCCTGACGGGTTTCTTTTTAGTGGCTGAGAGAAGTGGTTCTGAGGTTTTGGGAGTCATGGCCAATAATCCATTTCAGATATTTTTGGTTTTTCCCATCAGTGGTTTCTATGTCTGAAATGGTTTCTACTGTCTTAAACTCAGAGCCATTTCTCATTGAGTGACAGTTCCCATTGTTGGACTGGCCTGGTGGTACTTGTAGAAGTGAAAGGAATTAAACCTATTGAAGATAGTTTGTATTATTTTAAAAGATGTCAGGGGCTGGAGAGATGGCTCAGTGGTCTAAAGCACCTACTTAGAACAAGCTTAGCTAAAGCACAGGGACCGTGGTTCAATCCCCCAGCACCACATGCCAGTCAGCCCCGCCCCCTGGTGGGCTGAGCTGGCC